TGAGCAATATAATCAAAGTTGACCAAAGTTCTTCCAATTTTCAAAAAACGACCATGGTCAAACGACAAAAAAATAATAGAATTAAGTGTTTTTTATTTGTCATATACAATGCAAAATATTTAAAAAATAACGGAATCGGTGACATTAAGTATTTTTTACCTTCAAAATTGTATGGTTCTTACAGACAATGGCTCTTATCTAAATTTTATTATTTTGCTTACAAAATCTCTAAAATATCTCTTTATATTATTGTTATCTTTTTATTTGTTTGTACGTTTGTTAGAATCCGTAATTATACTACCGTATGACAAACATAGGCTCAAATTTTAAATTACAAATAACTTGTACAAAAATAGAAAAGCTGACATTTTTGATATTAGACAAATAGAAAATATTATTTAAATAAAAGACCATATATTTTAAAAAAGCTTAATAATTATTGTCTAATTTTAATAATCCTTAATTTCACTAAATAATAATAATTATTACTAATAATAATTTGTTTTTTCATATATGAGCTTTCTGATTGCTTTTTTATTTAATTTTTAAACTTCTTCTCTTATCAGGGCCGTCTCTAAGGAGGGGGGAGTTTGTAATCTCCCTACAAATATTTTAATCAAAATTTAGTCGCCAAGTTTGAACCTTTAGGCGGCAGATGTCAATAAATTTTTTTTTCAAGTCGTTAGTCGGTATAAAAAAGATATTTCAAACGCCTCCCACCACCCCCACCTCCCCTTCTTTTTCTCTCCTTTAAGATCTTTTCGGGACAGTCTTGTTTTTACCTATTGTCTTTTTTCCTTATTTTTTATATCATTTTTTAATTTTTTGTTTTTTGCTTGCAATGAAAAAAAACTTTGACTTTTTATCTCTTCTTTTCTAATTTTTTTTTATCTCTTCATTTTTCTTTTTTTAAATGCAAAGAAGAAATTAAAAATAAAATCTCCTTGTTGATTTTTAAGTTTTAACAACCTGCTCCAAAAATGAGCATATTACTTGATAAACATAAATTACTTTTGTGGTTAACGCACAATGATCTGGTGATGCCATTGGGTAATAAATTAGCTGCCGTTATTTTATCATTTTAAAAAGGTCTGGCACGATTGAAAAAATAACATATTGAAACGGCTCTTTATGTCTTTATTTAAGATAGCAGATTTACGTTTAAAAGTAAAAAATCTTTTTATCTCTTATTGAAAAATAAAATTTTATTTCATCGTTTTTTAAGTTTTTTAAATTCACATTAAATTCAGGTTTTTTTATTTTTAATTTGTTTTATGATCATCACGAAAAGTTTGTAGATCTGCAGAAGAAACTATTAATTAAGTTGTCAAAAACATTATAGCTAAATTTTTAAAATTTGTTGATGACAAAAGTTTTAAAAGTTGAAAAACTATTTTTTGTATTAATTTAACACAAAAATAACTTTTTAAAAACCTTTTTGATGTAACATAATTATGCTATAATATTATTATTATTCAATAACATAATTATGCTGATTATTTTCTGTAACTAAATATTTACTAAATAATTTTATCACTTTCTACTTAGTTGCAAAATAACTGCTACTAATAAATGATATAATAATGAATGTTTGATCAGATTTATCTTGTATTTGCTTTGAAATTATAAGGCCAACTAAAGTAAAAGTATCATTAAGAATTTTAAAAAATGCTACAGTAATTTTAATATTAAACAGTAGGGTGGGCAGAACGTTTTGATGTTTCAGATATGACGTTTTAAAACACTAAAAATAATTATGTTCATGCTTATGACAAATAAGAATGTTTTGCAAAAAATTGCGGTGATTGGAGCCTGGGAATAAAAATAACCCAAAATGTTCCCTCACTCTACCCAGAATGTGAAGACAATCAGCTAAAAAAGTATATTTTTAAGCATATAAAGATAAATTTAAATTCATTGACAGGTTTTAGATTTCATTTAATATTCTTTCAACGTTCTAAAGTTATGACCATATAATGAGATGCAAAGAAACGTGTTTTTTTGCTATCGTGTTTTTTTCACCCAAAAAAACGTGTTTTTTGGGGGGTTTTTTTGTTGTTTTTTTTGAGTTTTTTTTGGCTTTTACAGATCCTTTTAGTGTTTTTGTTAACTTACTTTTAACTTTTTAAAAATGTTTCCAACCTATCTAAAATGTTTCTATTTAGTTTTGTTTGAGTATTTTAGGTTCTATATTAGGTTATATTAAAATTAATCTATTTTCATTGAAGCGTGAACAGAGTTCACTAAAAAGTTAAAGTAATGATTTTTTTATTGCTAAAATAGTTGACATACTGTTTGTTCTTTTCGAAATTTGAATTCAAAAATTAATAAGAAATAATTTTGTTTTAAGTTTTTTTTTTTATCTAAAACTCGTCTACAGAAGAATCTTGACTAGAAAACTCTGATTCTTTGTCAAGTGACTCAAATTCTTGTTCAAGTGACTCTTCATCTGAAACATTTATTGGTTCGTGAGATTTATCTGAAATATTTATTGGTCTTTTAGGCAGAATTGGTTGTTGTGTTGCACACATATCCATTGCCTCGAGCTTCAAATTTTGTGATACAAACACTAATTTTGTTGCTCTTTCAATCTGTTTCTTTTGGCCCTGTGAATATTTGCATAACTGCTAAAACTTCTTTCGCAAGCAGCACTTGTAGCATTAAGCTGAAGAATTTTTGTTGCTACTTTTGATAATTCAATAGATGAACATAATCCCTTCCACCAATTTGGACCAAACGTTAGGTCAATAGCTGTCCATGTAAAAGTTTTTGAAAAAACTCCTCATTTACATTGGTAATTTGCTAAATCAGCCATCAAAATATCTATTTTGGTATTAGGTGAGTTTGCAGCAATTGAATATATTACTTCACATGCATTAATCTGTTAAAAAATTTAAATAATGCATAATGGTTTTACTTAGTTTAATAAATATAAACAAAAGTTGCTAATAATTTAACCTTTTATTCCCCATTTAAATATCTTCCTTGATATTTGGGGTCAAGTAGATTAGCAGCTATATGAATTTTTGTTAAGCAAAATTTTTCTTTTTAGCAAATATTTCCTTTATTTCTACTTCCTCTTTTTTTGTTAAAGTACTGCTTTCAATGTTTTGATTAATATTATTTTCTAAATTATAAAAGATTTCAACTATAGACAACAAAGTTGGGCTGTCGGTCTCTGATATCTTGATTGAATCAGCTATTGGTGCTAGCAGCTTTAAAAATCCTTGATCCTTATCCCAAAATATATATGATAACAAGCTATTTTTTGTTGTAGAATTTAATACACATCGCTCAGAGATGGTCAAAGATTTTAAAGACTATTTTTCTGTATACTCTCAAGACACGCCACAGTGGAACCCTGTCTGTTAATAAATAAATTTTAATCACGTATCCTAATTTAATAATATCAAATTAGAAGTAAAATAAATTACTATATAAAACTATGTTTTAATTAATTGTATAATAATAACAATTACCTGGTTTTTACCGGTAGTTTTAATGAAATGTTTGAATCAACTGTTGATTTTTGAATTTCTTTAAATATTGCACCTATTATGTGAAAGTTTTTGATTTCCTTTACAATATCTGTTGCTTGTGACATTAACACACAAAGAGTAGGTATTTTTATGAAATCATTAAAAAGCAAATTGAGACCATGAGATATACATCCATAGCAATTAAGAAGAGGATAGCTGTTTTTTAATAGTTTCCATGCCTTTTTCATGTTTGCTGCATTGTCTGTTACTATTCCCATAACTTTTTTAGAATTAATTTCTTCTAATACCCTATGTATTTCATCTGCTATGTATTCACCAAAATGACTTGATGAACCTGAAAATTATTACTTTCATGTAAATACTTTACAAAATGTTTAGTAGTGTTTAAATAATTTATTATTTATTTTCAAAAATAAATATACATTAATGTAAACTTTACCTGAAGGTAGTGATTTCCATAAAATAGGCAATAATGAAGGCAATGTCAACACAAAGTTGATAACTGCTTCATTTCTGCAAAATGTCAATAGTTTTCAAGTTTTAATTTTTAAATTATTTGCATAAATAATACATTAGTTTTTTTGTTTAAATTTATTTTAACTAATACTCACCTAATATTTTTCCATCCATCACACATAAGTCCTACAAAGTCTGCTATTGCAAATAATTCTCTAATATTGCTTGATATTCTATTGAATTCTTTACCCAAAAGTGTGTTTGATACTTCATACCTTGATGGAAGCTGATAAGCTGGGCGTAAGCTATTTAAAAAGGTTTTCCATTATTTATTATCAACTAAACTCATTGGTGACCCACTTGCGTAAATAGCTCTAAACAGATGTGCATCGATAGATTCCTATGACATTATTAATTTTAGACAAACAATTAAAAAGAAATATACTATGCAAAAAAAAAAAATGTTGATACCTTTTCACATTGTCTCATACTATCAAACATTGAACAAGATTTACCACTTTTAGAAATTGGTTCTGAATTTTTTAAAGGGTCTGAAATAATGTTTGTGACATTTGTACTATTACAATGCTGACTTGAAATAAAGTTTTTAAATTTGCATGTTGCTTATCTTT